TAGAACATTCGCCAAATTACAGGATAATTCTAGAAAGTAGAGAGCGTGAGAATCACATGATCTCGATGACGCAACACCTTTTTTATATTATTGCTGTTAAATAGAATTACTCTTATCAAATACATTTAGTGTTTTATTATAATAATGTGGAATAAATATATTTGGCACACGTTAATAATTATACAGGGAGTATATTGAGATATGCTTTGTCGAATGTTGTGATCTTACTTTTTCTCATCAACGTTGTCGTCAGCTTTGGTCTTCTCTCTGCTTCCTGGACTCCCAAGCATTTGCCAAATCTCCACACCAACCAATTAACTAGATATGATTTAACTCTGAAATTTCTTTTAACCCCACGATCTTAGTAAAATTTTCTTTCTCGTGAGCGGGGCGAAGGGGGATATTAATATCCCTGAAAACCCCAGTTTAGGAAAGTTCATCTTTCCTTTAAAAACTAAATATATATATATATTATTTTTTCTATGGTAATTATGCTTTAAACCTATAAATTAAAACCTAATGCCCGTTAGAGGACAGTTCGATTTTATGTTGTATTTGTTGGTGTCACAAATAGGCCTATGTAGGTATGTTTGTCACACAAGTAGAATGTAGTGTAGATTTTAATAAGTTTGCAAAGTATTTACATTTTTCAGTATTATTGTTTAAGCCAGGTATAATTCATTGAATTAAGTTAATATTTCGTTAAATAAGTTTTAACAATTTAGATCTTAATTTTTAATTCACGTAAATCAAATTCAAAATGCTCCTGGTACTACTACTACTACAATTAGTATTACGAAACGCTTGTATGTTGTACTCATTGCTCGATAACATCGCTGATTCAGTCTATTTACTTATGTCATTCAAGCTTTTGGTACTGGTATGTCAAATAAGACATATGATAAGATTTAATATTTTCATTGTAATGAAACTGTGTTTTCTGAAATGTTTTTAGAACTAAAATTATGAATGAAAGATAATTTATTGATAAAAATATAAATAATTTTCCAGCAGTTCAGGACTGAATTTCTCATACTTTTCTTTGTGTGTATTATTCTTATATTATTAAGCTCTTCCAGTGATTTGCATAAAGTGAGAGGTCCAAGATTTTCAGCACGTCAATTTTGAAAGCCCCATTCAAAAACTGGAGGTCTTAGAAGACAGTAATTTATGCTAAATGTCAATGTGACTGTGCAAGTTTGTCATATAGCATGTTCTAAAGTAAGCTATTTTGACTGAACATTACTGTTTGTTTTGTTTATCTTTGTGTGCTTAATGGTGCTTGGGATGTGCCTTAAGAAGTGTTACAAATGGTGCTGGTGTATTCAAATATATTTTAATGCTACACAGATAGTAGAGATTGATTATTGAAGATCACAATTTACTCTTGCAATCATTAAAGGTTCAAAAGACAATTTAATTGTTTAAGCCCTTGTTAAAATTTGATTAGTAAAAAAAACCCTGAAAGAATTGTATGTTGCAACAATAAAATAGGACCAGTCTGAAACCTAAACAAATATTTTTTTTTATATATATAGGGGTTTGGAATCGGAGCTTGGAAATCCCAAGAGACTTCCATACATTCAATTTTTGGCATCCATAGGAAAATTATGAGCATATAATATGCTGAAACATTCTGTTAATGGAAGTACAGCTTACTTATAGTCTGTGGTAGACATATTCTGTGTGAGAGCTAAATCTCCCAAAAAAAAAAAGTAACTTGTATCTTTAAGTCAAAAATAATGATGCACAAAATGAGATTTATTTTTGTAAAAATTTGCTTCTATGCAAAAGAATTCTTCTTATCCTTGTCATTGAAAGCAGATGTATCTTTGAATGTTTAATGCCTATTAAATGTCTTACAACTATATCAGTATTGAAAAAACAACAACAACAAAAAACAGATAATACAAATCAATTCATATTAATGTTTGTATTGATGAAATATAATATTTTTATGGCACCTAAAAATTATATTTGATCATTGCATTCACAAATATTATGTAGTCTATGATTAATAACTTTTCTAAATATTTTCTGTGCCAAACTTTTCATCAGCTTTAGTTAGCTTATTTAGTTATTAAATTGTTAACAGTTATTAACTGTATAAATTATCATTGCAAAATTTGTCAAATGATTCTTTATATTCATTAAAGCAGGAAAATGGCTCATTAATCTACATTCTGCTGATTCTGTTAATTCCACTTTTATGTGACAGCTGTGGAGTTTGATACTCAATTCCCATGACTGTGCCAATAGCCCAACTATGCTATCAGCAAGGTGATCATGTTGGTAGACACTGCGATATCAACGATTGAAAAAATATATACAAGAATCTGTACTGTAATAGTTTATTCCATAATTACGATATTATACTCAAACTTTATTATTTACATTTAGTTTCTGCTATATATTTTACCTACTTCTCTAAGAATATCAAATGTCACACTGTATTATTTAAACATCTTGTGTAATTAATTAATATTTATGTGTAATTTGTCAGATGTGTTTCATGTTTTATGTCTTTTTTTAGTCTAGCAGTTAGACTCTGATGTCTTACATTTTACATTTGCCTAGACTATCTCACATTTAAACAAATCATTTGAAATTCACAGTTGAACAATTCTGCAGACTTCGTGTGGGAGTGTATGTTATACCTCTAATGGTAACTGTTAATTACATGTGTAGCAATACATATTTTGATATGAATTATACCCTTAATTATGAAAAATATGTTTCACTGGATGTTTGTTAGTTACTATCTTTGCCACAGTTGTATTCCATTTATGTACTTCATGTGTATTAAATTTATATTTCAGGTTTGTGGGTTTACATAAAGACAATTGAAGATGATCCTTTAGTGTTTGGTGAGTGCTTTGCGTTTAATTATTGTGTCTTCATATGCAATTATTCAGTTTTGATGAAACATTCCTGTAACACTGTGTATTGAAAATGGATTATATTAATGTAGTTTAATATGTAATAGATCAATGAAAAAAAATGGGTTACCTTTAACTTTGTTTATTAGACTAGGAACTAAAATTGTAAAAAGCTTGTTAATAATCATGTGGTCTTTGTTAATACTGTAATCTCTTGATGTGCTATGTCAAGTTTTGAAATTTGGTGGGTCAGGAATAAAAAATAAAGAATATAAATGGCCCGTGTTTTATGTAGTATAACTTTCATTTATCAAAAAAGCACTTTCTAATTTTTTTACCTTAACATAATTACTGAACCAAATACATGAATATAAGCTTTCATGGATTTCAGTACTATAAAACTGCACTCTCTCTAACTTTTTATTATGATTCTGTGCAATGTAGTTATTGTTAAAATTGTGGGTATGTACATATAATATCTTTTGTGAAACAAATATTTGTTGTAATTTAATTTGGGTTTCTAGTTCATTAACCACTGTAGATGTCTTATGGTAGATGTAATAAAATATAAACTGATCAGTAAGACAAGAAGATATGCCATATGACACAAAAAAGCATACTTGGTATCTTTTTAATATTTTCTTTCAAATTAAGAAATTAAAACATATATAATATTAAACTTTGAACTATACACTATGTTATGATGCCAATTTTATTGACATACAATGATAATACAGTTGTTTAATTAAATTCTAAAAAAAAAACTAAAGTGTCCTGACATGAGCCCTTTGACCTGCCCATTGAGAGAGGGTTAAGCTTATGCTTAAGAATGAAAGGAAGAGCTTTGGTACAGAAAAGACAAGGGTAAAGGTTGTTTAATGTCTCTTGTTTTAAAATATAAAAACATGACTTGCGTACCTGTGAGCTCATTAAAATGATTGAAGTTTCATATGATAGTTTTTACATGCTAAAAACTACTACTAATAATTTAGCTTAATGATTGTTTTTTTAGGCCTTCTGAATTCATAATGTTTCCTGGTATGTAGAAATCAGTTTGGGTACCTTCCTTGTATCTATAGATGTGAGGAAGAAAACTTACTATGGAAACTGGCAAACAGTATTTTCCTATATGATATGTAACCTCTTCTCATATTCAGCTTTTCCCAATTCAGTGCATATGTTTTTTGCTCTCCACTAGCCTTGAGGCTCCCTCCTAATCTCATGTTTCGATGTGGCATTGCTGCATGCAAGTGAGCAGTCTCCTAAGTGCAGCTGGCTCCCCCTATACTGATTGTTCAATCATCACTTCTCAATTTAGCACTCGTGTCAAGATGTCTTATTTTGCTCACGCAAGATTTCTCAATATCAACATTTGGTTGAAGTATCTACAAAACCAACTGTTGTGGAAATATTTTTGTTTTATTTTCAAACAATTCTGCCTTTGCAGACTTTGTGGCTCTTAATTTCTGCAATATGTATTACTAGAGACATTCATTTCTACACTGTCAGGTGTTGAACGTTTGAACTTTGTTCATTCTGAACAAACTACCACAATGGGGTCAGTTGTTTCTTTGTCTGTTAGAGGATATGACTGCTATTGTGCAGTGGATGGTGGAGTCTTGCATGTGGCCTGTACCTTTTCCAGGCCTTGATTCAGGCTTCTCTTCTCCAAAAATTCCTGTCTGTTAGGAAATGCATTTTAGGCAATCTTTTCTCAACACTTAAATTTGCAAACAACTCTTACAGTACAAATATGGATTTACTTTGACATTCTGTATCCTTCTGTGACTTTTTATTTTCAGGTATGTTACCTTTTTTCACTCTCTCCAATTTCTTATCATTCTATACTTTCCGTTCTTCAGATATTATGTTTTTCCTCCTTCCACTAATATCCAAGTCTGTACTGAAAAATTATTTGTCTCAACTTCACTTTGGTGCCAGTATGCCTTGTCCTCCATGACTGGTTTGCAAAGTTGCCTTGGCTTATAATTGGGCTGAAGCCCTTTTCTTGAACTCCCAAGCTCTGGAGTTTCTTCTTCAGGCTTGGTGTTCTGATCCACTGTCCTTTATAAGTCTTTCTACAGCTCAGTTTTCTTGCTTTTGCCTTACGTTCACTACCCTTTTATGTTATATATCCTCCATCTATATCCTATTGGAAGCAGTCCACTGTTCCCCTGAGAGATTTTCAGTGAACACTCATTCCCTTTTTCTATGTTGGCACGCTCTTCTTCCTCAGCCTTGTTCCTTCTCACTTGGTTACTCTACTCTGTTATTGGTATTTTTTGGGGAGGAATGACCTTCTTGCCCAAGTGCATTGACCTCCTTGTTATCTTTGTTTGGCTCTCTTCCTATGCCATGATTTTTTTGTGTGGTATCTTAATTACTTGTAGTCATGGGGTGAGGCTGTATGACAACATTTTTCCTTGGCTACCCTTGTGCCCCTTCTATCCCAAGCTCCTCCTCTCTCAATTGCTGTCTCCCATCCTTCCAACTCCACTCCCTGTTCTTTCATCTCATACGTCTTCTCCTGTCTGTTCTTCCACTGTCCATATGTTTCAGTGCTGACAGTCTTGTTGATGTCTATCTTTTAGGATCAAGAACAGTGGGAGTTCGTTGGGATATTTGTGAATCTATGGATTCCTTTTGCTGCTGACCATTGGTGGCTACAGGTCTATTCATTGGCTTTATCCTTTGTTTTTTTCTCTCATTCCCTTTTGTCTCCTGTTCCTTTCTCTCCTCCCAGGGTATCCTTCTCCCTTTAGCTTCTCTTCGAAGTGAAGTTGGACCTTTTGGTCAAGGATTCTATTGAAAGGGTTTTTCAGCTTTCTCTAGGATTTTATTCCCATCTGTTTATCATTCCTCTGTACACCAGGGTTTGGCATCTGGTAATTGTTCTGTCCTGTCTCCATCAGTTTCTCAACTTTCCTCAGTTTACCATGATTTTTCACAACCTCCAATGGTCTTTTTCTGTGGGGCTTTGGATGACCAATGTCAGTGTCTCTGATACTCATCTTCAAATTCTTATCTCCCCAGCATCCAGAATTTATCTTTGTTTTTTATATCACAGTATATTTTCTCTGCTGCATTCATACCCTGGATGGTTTACTTTTCATAGCTCTGTCTTCCTTTCCTTTGTGAGAAGTGCCCTATCTCTTGGAAACCTGGGCTTCCTTGGAACCCCTTATCCTCTTAGGCCATGCTCACATGCATCTTTTATTGTGGACTCTACATGATCACTGGAACCTCTCTCAGGATCACTTTTCTGGAGTGGTCCCTCAATCCTCGTGTTTTTCAATGACTTTGTTCATGTCTAGGCATTCCTCACATTGATGCCTTTGTCACTTACAACACTGCCAGTCTTCCCCTATTCAGGTCCTCTGTTCTGCACACATTGGCACTGGATGCATTCAGTCAGGAATGGTCTGATCTCCTCCTTTATGTTTACTCACTATTCCTCTCCTCCCTCAAGTTTTCTCCCTCATTTAGGATACTCTTTGTCATGTCCTTCTGGTGGTCACACACTTTTGGCCAGCCCTATCATGATTTTCTTAGCTGAGCTTTCAGATTTCCTCCCCTTCTCTTCTCCCACTCCCTTGTTCTTCAGCCTTGTACTTCTCTTTTCCATTTCCATGCAGCCATGTCATTGCTCTGGCTTCACCCTTGGAGTCTATCCAGTCCTTTGCAAGATGGTTGAGATATCCTTCACGTGTAGCCTTCCTGTCCCATTCTGTTTGCCTGTCCTTCTCAGAAGTTTATCAGCAGAAGTGGCATATTTATTGCTGTTGGTCTCAGTATTGATTTTTCTTATCTTCTCATTCTTCTGTTTTCTATCTATCTGTGTTCTTCATGTGGCTTTTTCATCCAGGGCTATTCTATCTCAACTATTGCTGACTGCTCTGTCTACTTTCTGGTTTTCCTATTACACCTTTTTTTTCCCTTTCCATTCATCTATCCTACCTGAAAGGGTCCTTAATGTTGTTCTACATGCCTTTACCCTACCTCCCTTTTAACCTTTTGCTCCTTGTTCTTTATACCATCTGTTCCTTTAAAAAGTATTTCCTCCTCCTTTCTTGTGGTTATGAACATTTCAATGTGTATGCTATCAGTTCTCCTCACATTCTATTCCATTACTCCTATATTCATCTCTGTCTGGATCACATTTTTCTACCTAAAATGTGTATAGCATGTAGGGTGATAGTGCATTCAACCCTATATTTCTTCCTTCCTTTCTCATCTTTATTCCTGTTTGGATCCCTATTGCTTCCTATATCCTGTTTGTGTGGTCTGTTGTTATTTGACCCACACTTCTTCCGTTCATGGTTCCAAATCCCTTCTCTTTCTTTTGTGGAATCCTTCATTCACTTGTGATCTTTCTCCTCTTACTCTCCCTAAATGGGTCCAGCAACTTATTTGTTTAGCATATTCTTTGTTGGATGGAGAAGCATTTCAGTGTTTCCAGGTGTCCCCCATCCAATTCGTCACCTAACTTGCTCATTGGCTGTTTACTTTCATCATCTGTTGGAGAAGATTGTTCAGGCTGGTATGTAGATGACCCTTCATACCTTTGTCATGCACTATCTTCATTGTCTGGCTATTTCTTCCTCATTATGCTATGGACTGTTTCTGGTCACTGTTATTCACACATCATACCATGTATGATTGGATAATTCCTTTTTTCTTACTTTATTTTTAAAGTATCTTCCACATCAATTTTATGGAACTATTGGCTATCCATTAGGTGTTTTCGAAATTTCTACCTAGTCTTGTGGATTACTTGGTTATAACTCACTCTAATAATTCTGTGGTTGTTTCATATATCAACGTTAGAGTGGGACTTGCACTAGAGACCTTTATTTCTTTCTGTTAGACTTTGTTTTGGGCTCACTCACATTGGGTTCATCTAACAGCCTGTCATGTCTCAGAAGCTTTTGAACTTGGTAGCACATTGACCATCTCGACCATATAGGATTCTTTTTATGAAACGTTCACTCCAACCTTGGATATTTTGTTGGATTTATTCCCAGTTGGGCACACCAATGATCAATGCCTTTGCCACTCCTCTTGATACCAAACTTCCCTTCTTATGGTCTCCAGTGCCTTGGCCAGTAGCTTTGGCTGTGGATGACCTCAGCCAGCAGTGTTCTCATTCTTTTCTGTAAGTATGTCCACTTCAGAACCATGTTACATGGACATTTTAGCAATGGACCCCTGTACTGTTCATAGATGAAAGAATATTTTGTGTATTTTCAAATGATTAGTGGGAGAGGGTCTGGTGATGTGAAGGAGAGCAATATTTGGCCTGTAACATTGTCAACCATGATGCCTTTGGGAGCTGGTCTGTCATGGTCTAGGGTTAGTCCTCTGTGTTGTGAATGGAGGATCCTTGACAGCAAGATGTTATGTGGATGAGATCCAGCTACCAATTGTTTGCCCTTTTACTGGTGCTGTCGGAGATGATTTCATGTATCAGCAGGATAACATCCGTCCTCACAATGCCAGGATCATGTAGCAGTTTTTTTAAAGATGAAGGAATAGAGGTACTGAACTGCATGCTAAGTCACCAGACCAAAATCTGATTGAGCACGTATGGGACTTGCTAGAGATCTACTGCATGTGGAGGATGTGTTGTTCTTTGTAAGTCACTGCAACAATGTGCAAGTGAGTGAGTGTTGGGCCTGTTGTGAACAATTTTGTGTGTTACCTCAAAGCTCAAAGGTGATAAAATAAGAAGATGAGGCAGCATTAACAGAGATTTTGCAGTAATTTCCCTTGTCAGAAGTTGAAGAACAGTGCTTGAAGATGATGACATATTCCAGATGCTGAAAGTTTTGCTTTCATCCTACCCAACTAGTAGTATACATACTGTATTTAAGGTACAGATTTATAGACTTGAAAGAAGATGATTGTTTCATGTGATTTGGCTGAATACAAAGCTGGACATAATTTAATGTATTAAGAAGTTCTATGAAAGTCAGCTAGGCTGCATTATTGCAGTTTTAACAAGTTGCAAAAGATTTTGTTTTTGTGTGTGTGGAAGAGGTGACAATTTTCTAAAGTTGCTGTACAAGTATCAACATGCAGGACTTGCTTACTAATAAAGTTGGAGTGTACTCATTAATGTAAAAAAAAACAAAAAACAACTGAACCACCCACAATGAACCAAACAATCTAAACTTGTTACTGCACAGAATGATCTTCCTCCTTGAAGATAAAGACCTAGACAGTGGAAATAAGAGTAAAAGAAACTGCATGGATTGAGGATGAAGGATTGTGTAAGGACAAATTAGTGAAGACCATGGCTTAGTGTGATGTTAGTGAGACAGAGCTAGTTGAAAATGGTTTAAATCATTCATTTTCATGACAGTTAATCAGAAACATGAAAAAAAGGTAATAAAAATAATATACTAGTTTAGAAAATAAAGCAGTAGGTAACATACAACTAAAGCACTAAGGCCAGACAAGGTTTACTTCAGGGTTTTAAAGAGATTATAGATCAGATATTTGTGCTTCTTTCATTTTTAAAGCAACAGACATCAGGAAGGTGCCTTAAGATTAGAGTTGCTTATGGTACTCCTGTTTTTATAGGGTGTGTTACCCTGGAAATTTAAGCCTGTTAGCCTTACTTTTGTAGAGGGAAAAATTCTAGAAAATCTGATAAAAGAAGCTTTACAAAATCATTTAGTGAAATATGGTATAAAAAAAAAAGCCAACATGAATTTACCATAGGAAAATCTTGCCTTACTAAGCTGTTATCTTTTTTCAAAGAAGTTAATTATTTTTTTCAGTGATGATTTTGGCATTATGTTATAGTATTAGTGGGTGATTTTCATAATGGGTCTTATTCTGCCTGAAGTTTCATTAAGAAGATGATGATTTGAACTCAGTGCAGAGTTTTCAAATAACTTGAAATGTTATTATTTCATTGGAACTTTAATTAGGAGATGATCTGTAACCAAAATCACTCTACCATGAGTACTGCATCTTAATTGTTATCTGGATGATTAAAAGGATATGTACTTGGTGTACTTAGATTTATAAAAAGCATGTGATAAGGTGTTATAGAAAAGATTAGGTAAGAAAATTACATTGGCAGGTACTGGAGAAAGACAAGTTAAATGAATTGTAGGGTGTTTGGATGGAAGAAAGCTAAGGGTTGGTGTGGTGATGACATTAAACTCTTGGATATTTCTAGATGTATTGAGGATTTTAAGGTACTACGAAATGACTTGGATCAGCCGGACAAATTTTGATAAATGACTTATAATTATAGTAAGTGTAAGGTAATGCATTTGGGTTATTGTAATTTGGATCACAAATTTCAAATAGATGGGAATTCATTCAATAGCTTGCCGGAAGAAAAGGATCTTGGCATAGTGGTGGATTAATCAGTCAAGCCATTGAAGCAATGTTCTATTCTAGTGGTAAAGCTAATAGAATGTTTGGGTGTATTTATAAACATATTGATTACAAGACAAAAGAGGTAATTTTCACTCCCTGATTACACATATCACTTGGAATACTGTGTACAGTTTTGGTTGATCTCCTTACGTAAGAAAGGATATTGACGAACTGGAAATGGTTCAGAGAAGGGCTAATATAATTATTTTGGGAATGCATTGGTTATCTTTTAGGGATAGGTTCAGATTTCTTATTTTCTTTTGAGAAAAGAATGGTAAGAGTTGATCTTATTGAAGTTTACAAAATTATCCATGGAATTGTTAGGATAAAAAGCTCATATTTCTCTGGCCATATTCTGAAGATAATAGGATGAGGGGGGACAAGTTAAAAATAATATGAAAGATAGGATAGGCTCCAGTTAAGACAGTTTTATCTTTCTAACAGAGTAAGGAATGGGTGGCTGCTGGAAATATTAAAGGCCAACACTTTACAAGACTCTTAAGAGGGGAATTGATGATTTCCTGAAACATAGAGGGTGGGTTTAACTTTTTTACTTTTGTTAAGTGTGTGTGTGTGTGTGTGTGCGTAAGAACAGCCTTGAAGAACCAAATGGCCTCCTATTGTCCATATTGTAATTTTATTGATAGTAAATCATTTTTTACTTGTAGTATTTTTGTGTGTTAACCCATTGAATATACAATAAGAAATTCAAATTTGTAAAGAGATAATTGTGAAAAAGTATTTGTATCCAGTCAGAGTGCAAGATTATGTTCATATGAAGAATAGAAATAGTTTTGTTCATCTATTTGTACACTAGTATTTTTGTAAATATGTGCACTAAAGTTAATACTATGAATCTAAAGAAGCAAATGTTGATTACTTTCCTATTTAAATTTAGGTAATACAAGAAAACTTTCATAGTTCAAGATCTGCCTTTTCATCCTGAGAGATTCAGCTAGTTTTGGACACCTGGATTGTATTTTATCTTTTTATGATTTAGTTTATTTGCTATATTAAGTTTGGTGCATAAGGTTTGTGAGTTGGTTTACCAGTATGAAGATAAATGAGAAAAACCTAGCCCAATTTGCTGTTGCTAAGACTCCTGTTGATAGAGAAGGTTGGCTATTGAAACGAGGAGAAGTTAATAAAAGTTTCCAAAGAAGATGGTTTACTCTAAAGGGAAATCTCTTGTTTTACTTTGAAAAGAAAGGTGATAAAGATCCTATGGGTTTGATTATTTTAGAAGGATGTACAATTGAGCTGGCTGAAAATGAAGAATTGTTTGCTTTCAAGATTATGTTTCATAGTGCTGGCAATAGGACATATATACTTAGTGCAGATAGTCAGGAAAACATGGAAAGTTGGATGAAAGCTCTAGCATGTGCAAGCTATGACTACATGAAGTTAATGGTTGCTGAATTGCAAAGACAACTGGATGAAGTCAATGAAGCGGAACGTAAAAGAAAACCAAAAATGTCTCCTCCCCAGCCACTAAGGAACAGTTTACCAGTGAACCGCTCTGACAGCTGCCTCTGCCGTCATCAGGCAGCAGGTAGTAACCACAGGTTTAATCCATTCAATACCAAAGCAGAAGATCTGTCTAAGTCAGATGCCACTGAAGATGAAAAAAAATCAACTAATGAAAATTCTGGTAAATTGATGGGATCAAAGCAGTCTTTCATTGAATTGCATGAATATTATGGAAGGCATTTTCGTAAGCTCTTTGAAGAACAGAGGCAGAACAGGTCTCACAACAAGCTACAACAGCTTGAATAAACATTCATAATTCCTCAGAGTATTAAAGTAAATAAGGTATTGATATTTTTCATCTCAATAGTTAAGGTTACATAGTATCAGCTAAAATGTTATATTCATTAGTAGTATACATCTTTAATATGAATTATGTATATTGTATGTAGCTATCATGTGCAGTCCTTTTGACAATGGTTCATATATTTTGTTTGAAGTCAAAAAGGAGTTGCATTAATGCAATGAAGTGGTTATAATATTTCACAACTGTCTTGTTCAGTTCACAGTAAAATTGATCATTAATAGTTCAACATCTCAGCTAGGGTGGGTTCCTTTGAGTAGTCAACATTAGTTTCAGTTATTACTGAAAGTTATCTATTGTTATCTGCCTACAACACACACACACACAGACAAATATTTAAACTGAGTATTGTTATCCTTCTACAATACTAATGAATAGATATTTAAACAGAATTTTGTCTCTACCTACAACACATAGAGACAGATACTTAACTAAATATTATCTTCCTATAACAAATATGGATAGATGTTTAAATAGAATATTATCTTCCTAAAATATACTTGTACAGATATTTAAACTGGTTATTGTTATCTTCCTATATCAAACATGGACAAATATTTGAAGTTACACAGAGCTACTAAAGAAATAAAGTCAATGTTTAATAGTACATAATAAATCTAGAATGAGACTGACCCCAGTCTAAAAAAAAATAGTTTAATTCAATAATTTTATGGTACAAAGATAAAATATTGTGAGACCTCAGTGTTTCCCAAACTTTTATCATTTACACCCCTTTAATATATATGCTTTCTTGTGTGCCCCCTCTTTTTGTTTTAATGAGTGAGTTAAGTGGCGAGATATGTGTTGTAGTAATTACTTATTATTTTCTTTAATAAAAAATATATTAAAATGCTCGAATTTACATTATTGCACTATTGACTTTACCATAATTTCTCACCCCCCCCCCCCCAAGAGATTATTTTTTGCCCCCACTTTGGGAAAAGCTGCTCTACATGTTTTGATGTTTTACTGCATCATCATCAGGAGTGCAAAATATTTTGCAAGAGTTTAGACCTATATACAATTTCAAAAATCACATGATCAAATTTACATTTTCAGTTTAAACAATTTCACACCATTGTTAACAATACTAGAAGAAATACCTGCCTGCAGGCAGGTATAACTGCTAGTTCCTGCTGAAGGCTATTGGGTCTGTGGCCTTTTCTGAAAATGTCTGACAATTGTAAAACAATGTACTCATACTTCACATTCAGTAATGTTCACCATCCATGAGAAAAAGGATTTTATTGAAATTTTAGTTTAAAAATGAGCTATCATCAAAGCAATACATCACAGAGTAGATTTTATTGAAGTATTTCTTTGTAGATGCAGTTATCAGTGAAAGTGTCTTGCTTTTCTGTTGCAACACTCATGAGATTTTCACTAAAGAAAAACAAATGATTTTTTTAAGTTTGTTTTTTGATTGTTTTATATTTGAAACTTACTCCTTTTTTATTGTAATTTTTATTGGTTAAATCTTAAACATATAATTTTTGTGGATATTTCAATTGTTTTATTTATTGGTCAGCTATAAAAATACTGCCTAGTTATAAAAATATTTTCCAGTTATGATTGGCGATGATTAGTGCAGTAATTTCCGAGATCTGAGTTTTGGACGTATACATCACAAGCTCCATTATAATAAGATTTCCCTCTGGTCCTTAATTCTTATTTGATACTTTAGAATTATTTTCATTAAATTTTATTACCTCAGTACATTCACAGACATTATTACCATTGATGTTTGCAGATTGTGCTAAAATAAGTTTTTTTCCCATTGAATCAAGTGTTTAGTTTCATTAGTATGTTGAGCTAAAGGTGGGATTTTTGTATTATCATTTCTAACACTTCATTTGTGTTCAGAGCCGGCTTTAGCAAGTGTGAGGCAAGGTCCAGCCAAAACAGAAGTGAGAGATAATCTTTATTTCAGTTGAACGTAATAAATTAACTAATTGGTAGCATATGTACATAATCATAAATGAACTCATTGGTAACAAATGAACATAATTAAACTCATTGGTAACAAATGAACATAATTAAACTCTTTACTAACAAATAAACATAAATGAACTCTTTGGTAACAAATGACATCCCGTAGATAAAACTTTTAGTAGCAAATTAAAGATAGTCAAAGAATAAAATTAATGGACGAGAGAAAATGAGTTATATCATTGAAATTTTTCTTGACTTTACTGCTGCAGATTCGTTCAAAAGTGAATAAAATTCACATTTTTCGACTAAATCTTTTTCTATTGAAAGGATAGTTAATGATACCAAATGTTTTTCACTCTTTGTACATCGTAGATAAGATTTTATTGATTTCAGCCTGAAGAAACTACATTCTGCAAATGCTACTGACACAGGTATCGTTAGAAGAATTTGAAAGGGAATGAAAGTATTAGGATAAATGTCCACATATTCATGTTCAGTAATAAACTCGAGAGGGTGATGATGATCTGTAAACTGCTTCAAGCATAGTCACCCTCAGACTTGTTAATTCTTCACACAATCTTTCTCCATCTATATCTTTGCTATCCCTATTTCTATCAGTAAAACCTTCTCTAAATTCTCGCACTTACTCTTCAGTTCATCTCTGTCTACAGCATCAACTTTGAACAAAAATCCAAAAACCACATAATAGTCTTTCAGTTGTTGGAATCTCTCTTTTTGTACCAATGCAGTATCCAACATACAATTAAAAAATTCAACTTCAAATGAATTTTTTTCCATTACTGATTGGCTCATCACTTTCTTCATAAGAGCTAGCCTTTTTTTCCAATGAATCCTTTTCTGTTTGAATACAGGTTCTATGCCATTGCTATCTGCTAGCATACAAGACATATTCAGGACATCAATGAATCTATTTTTTCTATACTCTTCAAATTATAATCCAGTGCATTGCATCAAACCAATAGCTTGGGTAACGTCAACAGTTTCTTGTTGCAGTTCTTTGCTCGTAACATTAATCAGATGTACAATTTCATACCAGAATACAACAGCTACAACAAAATGGTATTTTTGCATTTCTTGCAACAAAGACACAGCTTCACTACAAGCTGCAGCATCATTTGCTATGAATTTTTCCTGAAGCGCATCATAGATTTCTATAAGCTGATAAGGAATGGTTTGCATTGCATCAGTGCACGCTTCCCACCTTGTTTCACTTAGAGGCTTCACAATGAAACCTTTCACATGTCATCTTAAAATTGACCATCTTCCCACAGACCCAGAAAATATAACTTACAGTCTCTGTAGTATGCCAAAGAAAAGCATTGCTCTTACAGAGCATCTTGCCATATCACTTAATAGTAAATTCCATGAATGACATTAATACGAAACATAGAAAGCACGTTTTTCAAGATCCAGAATACGTTTTTCGACACTCAAATGTTTCCCTCTCATGTTGGAGCCATTATCATACCCTTGACCTCACATATCATCTACTGATAACTGCATTTTTTTTAGAAAGTCAAGCAGATAATTAGTTAAGGCTTCTCCAGTGGTTTTTTCCCGCAGGAATGAAGGTAGTAAAATGTCGAAGACACTGCCACCTACATCACAGCTGTGGAGTATAATACTCGTCTGTTCCTGGTGAGTAGCATCTGGTGTGCAATCAAGTAAAATTAAATAATATTTTGCTGACTTTACATGATTGATGATTGTTTTGCGAACAAGATCACTGAGTGGTACAATCAGTTCATTCTGTATGAGTGGACCAAGGTAATGGTCTGCCAGCTTACCCTCTTGTGCACGTCGATTATGGGGTCAAATTTGGCAAAGAGCTGCACTCAACCTAGAAAATTTCCATTATTAAGTGTTTACAGTTTATCACTATCTTTGCAAAATGCCATGTTATGTTGTGCCAGATAAGTAATGATGGCAACAATGCATTCAATCACCATTTGCCAATGACATTTGTCTTTTTTGATAAGTTGACCATCAATTTTATTAATTGTCTTTCACTCTTTTAATCTTTTGTACAGTTCAGTACAAGTCATCATAGTGTTTGTGTTTAGATAATTTTGCACTGATGTTTTTCTTATCATGAATGCCTTCTTTTGCCAATCCACTGCTAGTAGCTGTAGGCAAAGTGAAAAGTTTATAAGCAAAAGAGTACATAGCATCGGCTTAATTGGAATACATCAACCATTGCCAATGAATCAATTCACCCTTTGGCAATTTGCATTTAAAATAAAAAATCTGGAAATTTGCTGGCTATCTGAACTTACTTGAATGGCTGTAAATGGCTTTTGTTTTTCTTGCATACTCGTATTACTGCTTCCATTTTTTTTTCTTCCTGTTCTTCAGAACCAACTGGGATGATAATTAGGTTTTGCTCTACAACTTGAAAATCACTAACATCTTTTGATTTTCCTTCTGGTCCTTCTATATCACCACTGCTAATTTTAATATATTTCAGAATCAAATGGCTCTGTTTCTGGATTTCAGCCTGAACTTTTGCAGACTTTTTCCGCTTACTAGCACCAGATGGACGATTTGGTCCAGTGCAACCTCCTGTTCCTAAAGTGCTAGACATTATTAGGTCTGAAAAAAATATTAAAATATGTTTTGAATATATATTATAATATATTGTATATAAATTTATTTATTGTATATAGATTACAGTAATTAATAGTTATGATATTTAAACTAAGCAAAGGAATATTGTTTAATAATTAAAAGTGGTATTGAAGCAATAGTATGAATGATCCTCAATCGATAATATATTTAGTTATAATGATCATAATTACGAAGAGATGAATTATAATGATTGTGATTGAGGTAGCAAGGAATACAATGTTATACATATTTCAAGAATGATTTGATATTTCTGTAGAATAAATACAATTTAAACAACAACAAAAATGTTAAATGTAGGCTTAAGCAGATTAAAAATCATCAAGCAAAATCACAAGAGTCACTATTGTGACATATATAAGACAATTGATGACCAGGAGTGCAGGCATCATGAGCCCACAACTTACATTCATTCACATTCTGACTTAAAAGAATTAAAAAATGTTGATAAAGCACAGATTATAAAAAGTGAATGGTGTAATTTAGTTAAGAATTTTAAATCTACAAATAATAACATACACGATATTGCAATTTTAAAGAGCTTAGAAGAACAAGATGTGATTATTTGTAAAGCCCATAAAGGCGATCAAACTTTACTCATTAATCAAAAAGTTTATGATTTAGAAATTGAAGAATTGCTTAAAGAAGGTCTGTACAAGAACCTAACTATTAATCCAGTAAATAAACTCCATACAATGGTAAATAAAAGAAAAAGTTAAACATTGTATAACCTTAACACCTCAAGAAAAGCAAGGTTTAATTCAAAGTAACTTTATACAACCTAGATTACCATAAGACTGGAGACAGTTTTGGACCTATTGTGTCTAATATTAAGAGGTCCACATACAATGTATTAAAATTCATATCCAAAAACTTCTCATTTTTAAGGGATGAAAATAAATACAAAGTTAAGAATTTGTTGAAAGAATTGAACATTTAACATTAGATCAGAGAAATATCCTAGTGTCTTTTGATGTTGTTTCAATCTTCAGAAAAATACCTGTGAAAAAGCCATTGCATGTTATGAGAAGAAATGAAAATAGAATAAAAATTTGATGTAATTAACTGATGTAATTAATCTTCATGAAAAATGTTAAAAGTACATGCTTTAAAATTTGGAATAAAGTTTATATACAGAATGAAGGTTTAGCTCTGGGTTCTCCTTTATCTGCATTATTATATGACTTATTTATAGACAGTTTTGAAACAAGTATTAAGAAAAGCAAAGAAAAATCCCCCAAAACAGAAATTTGGTTAAGGTACATTGATGGCACATTCTTGATATGGTGACATGGTAAAGAGAATTTAATTGACTTTGTTAATTACATTAGTAATATTAACAACCCTGTTAAAATTACATAGGAAATTGAGGAAAATAACTGCTTACCTTTGATGGGCATTTTAGTAAGGAAAAATTGGAAACTGGTATTACCAAAAACAATTCTTGGTAATCATTGCCTCACATTAAAAACCATGTCACATTAAATCTCAAAAAATCACTGCTTTTCATTGTTATGTGTATAGAATTTTTAAAATTGTTGTAAACAAGAAGATTAACAACTTGTATTACCATTTATACCTGGTTTATCTTTCCAACATATAGACCAGTGAACAAGATTAGCCAGACTTTTGATATAACTAAAGATAAAATTGATTTGATGGAAAAAAACTGGTATATACAAAATAACTTGCAAATGTGGAAATGTTTATGTAGGACAAACTAGAAAAAATTTAAAATACATAATAAATGAACATAAAAAGGTGTTAGAAATACCAACACAAAGATCTTATTTTTAGCCGAACATACTAATGAAACTAAACACTTGATTCAATGGGGAAAAAAAATTATTTTAGCACAACCTGCAAACATCAGTGGTAATATCTGCGAGTCCATTGAGATAGTCAAATGTACCAAAAGAAATTTTAACATATTAATAAGGATAAAGGATGAAAGGGAAGTGTTGATAATAGATGGTGTGAAATTCTTTAAGCTGAATTACATATAAATTTGATAATGTGATTTTGATGATGATGATGCAGTAAGATGTCAAAACATGCAGAAAGTATGAGACTGTTCTCAGTTTCACAGTATTTTATTTTTCATTATGCAGTAAAATTATTAAGTAAAACTATTGTTTATTGTATTTTGAGTCTGGGGACAGACTCATTTTAAATTTATTGTGTACTATTAATTGTTGGCTTTTTTTCTTTAATACATGTGTGTGAAACTTACATAAATGTCTGAAGTGACTGTTTTTACCTGCCTACAACACACATGAATAAATATTTGAATTGATTGTTGTTACTTGCCTACAATACATACACAGGAATGTATTTCACCTGATTAATTATTTCGAAGAGATTAATCTTCCCAAGTTATTGTAATGATAGCAATTAGAACATAAAATAAAAGTGATTTAAATGATTGACATGTTAACCCTTTCTGCTGTCACATCATTACTATGCAGAATCTTGATAAAAGTATAGTGATAAGTAAAACAGAAGTATGAAATGTTTACCATTTATTTTTACTTGCAGAAAAAACTTGATTCTAAGAAACTGGTTTCTCCGGGTTTTCATAGGGATTTGTATTGAAAGAATAATCCCTAATATTGTGAGACTGCAGTGGTTTATTTTTGTATGTAATTACTCTAATACTGTATATTTATGTATAGATAGATACTAGGAGAATAGGCTTTTCAAGTTAACGCAGCTCACCGTTCACAAGATATATTTTCGTACTAACAAATGAAGGATGTACATTTCACAGAAGTGTGAACCTGTTTACAATGACATTTACTACATATTTTGATGTGATTAAGGTCAATAACACATCAGAATTTATTTTCTAGCATCCAATATTTTTCTTGAAAGTTAGAGGAGATTGCAGCAACTGGCTACTTAATAATGTAATGGTCCTTTTTTCTTACAACTAGTACTCGGTCCAACATTTTAATGTTTTAAGTGGATTTATTGATGTGTTAATGTAAATATTATTGCAATATAGGACTTAATTTTTTGCATTAGGGAATTAAATTTATGATCAATAATAGCTACTGGGATATCGTCATTATTTTTTACTTCCTAGTAAAAACCTTTAGTTTCCCTTAGAATTGATTTAATGTAATTTCAGCAGTTCGGAAAAATTTATAAGACCTTTAAGCTTAAGTGCTTCCATCTAACTCACTTACTCAAATCGACAATAATGTTAAGTTATGAGTGCTGCAGAATCTTCAAAATTCTTGGGGCTAAGACTACTTCAGATTAAAGAAAACTTTATTTTAACTTTATTTGAAATTATATACAGTTCACACACACACACACACACATTAATAAATAATTACTTCAGTAGAGGTGAATATCTGAAACAAAAAATTAGATTTCATTGTTTTTTTTTGTAAAACTAACTTTTCATTTCTGAAGGAAATAAATGTGTATTCATTGAATTCTTCGGGACACAATGTGTTGGTGTTGTCTGAAACAGATGTTGGATATTAGTGTCACATTTCTAGAATGTCTTATCTAGTCTAAAGTCTGAAAGTTTTTTGGTTACATCAATGAAGAAATCTAAAGGGGGGAAAATGAAAAAAGTTATCTGGTGAATGTAAGTCATTTGATATACATTGACTTTCTGTTCCATAAAAGAAGTTATGACAACATAATAGATGTGACACTTCTCTATTCACATAAGCTTTTGTAGTTGTGTTTATGAATGAATGTTGTTCCATAAGATGTTATAAAGAATAATATGATTCATCTAGATGAAAACTTATTCTGGTTTCATTTTGTGTGATGTTTCAGGCAGTAAAGACTTTGTTACAATGCAGTTAGGCTCCTTTTTTTCTGTGCCTAATTCCATTGTAATACTGTCTTTACTGCCTCACAAAGGGGTACTGCCTAAAATGTCACACAAAATACAACTAGAAGAAGTTTTGATTTAGATGAGTCAATTTATTATTTATTATCCTAGTTTTGTTTATGATTTGTGCTAATAGAGAACAACATTCTCTTGTGTTGTGGGTATACCCAAGAAGTTATTTTGAGAAAGTTACAGTAAAATGTATTAATAAACTTCTTTCTTCATCCGTATATTAGCCACTAATAAGGTGCCATAATATTTTTCAGCTGTTTCTTGGATCTAATAATTTTGAAACCTCCAAGAGTGGACCAAAGATTTATTTTCATGTGTGATTCATTAATAACTTTGACTTATTTCTCTACAAGTATTTAACATATACCCAATGTTTATGTGTTTTTTTTTCTAATAAGTTGCATGTTTTAAAATATATAATTCATCATTGTTTGTAAGCTTCTAGTACATTATTATTTGCTTGTAATAATTTATGAATCTGGGACATAAAGAAGTGGTGGTGGTGTATATTGTGAGGGTGGATTTTGTGAATTATTCCATAAGTGTTTTAAAGACTGTTGCATTGTTTTCCTTGTGTTTTTTTATTAATAATTAACACAATTTGTTGTTTCTATGTTTTGTAAAAGTAGTTTTGAGGACAGATTGACTGTGAGCATGTGGGTGTGAGTTTCATTATCGTGAAACTATTCTATGTTGTATCAGTTGACAGTAAAACCTACAAAATAATATATTACTTAACTTTTGCATATTGTTCTGTATAAACACTTACCAATTATTCTTGTATTAATAGATATTACCATGTTATGTCATTGTGTTATATGAAGATTGGTTCAGCAATGGTGTAGACATGTTATATTGGTGTGGTATTACCATGTCATGTCATTGTGTTTATGAAGATGGGTTCAGCAATGGTGTAGACATGTTATATTGGTGTGGTATTACCATGTTATGTCATTGTGTTATATGAAGATGGGTTCAGCAATGGTGTAGACATGTTATATTGGTGTGGTATTACCATGTCATATCATTGTGTTCTATGAAGATGGGTTCAGCAATGGTGTAGACATGTTATATTGGTGTGGTATTACCATGTTATGTCATTGTGTTCTATGAAGATGGGTTCAGCAATGGTGTAGACATGTTATATTGGTGTGGTATTACCATGCCATTCATTGTGTTCTATGAAGATGGGTTCAGCAATGGTGTAGACATGTTATATTGGTGTGGTATTACCATGCCATGTCATTGTGTTCTATGAAGATGGGTTCAGCAATGGTGTAGACATGTTATATTGGTGTGGTATTACCATGTTATGTCATTGTGTTCTATGAAGGTGGGTTCAGCAATGGTGTAGA